CTAGCTCACCTTTTCGTCGCTCAGATCTCGACAGTCGTACTTGCCGTCACACTTCTTCGACATATCAAAACATTGCCGTCCATCTGCACACATGAAGACGCTGCCGTCATTACTGTCGCAATCTACCGGATTTGCTGCTGCAAAATGAAAACATCACTGAGACAGAATCGTTTAAGCAACTGTGATCCCTTGATTTGATCTTTTTACATGGATTTAAAAATATATGTAGAAAATAGAGTGGATCATTGATACTTCACTATGGCACTACTACAAAAGGTCATGCAAGCGAATTCAATACGTACGGCAGTCCTTTTCGTCCGAACCATCGGCACAGTCGGTGATGTTGTCACATCGTTGATACTCGGCGATACAGGAGACACTGTGCCATTCGTACTTGTCACACTGCCATTGATCCGCTTTGCAACCAGGATGAGCTAAAATTGCTTAATTTAGAAAGAGAAGATTTGAATAGTTGAAGAGAAAAAGCGTATTCGAGAGAAGTTGCAGGTTGAGGGAAGGAACGACATGAGTCATGAAAGCGCAGGGGATAAGAACGGTTTTAAGAAAACACAGTTGGGGTTGGAGTACCGAGATCTGCGCCGTTTTGGTTATAGCTGATCACCCTTCATAACAGAAAATGCACAAACTGCAAGGAAAAGCGGTCGATTTGCAGCTAAAAGGTAGGGCAGAAGAGTTCAGAAAAAAGTGTTTCCTATAAAACATGATAAAATTGTAATCATAAGTGAAACAGCGCATGACCAAAATGTTAGGGGATTTTGACCTGTTTTTGTTTGCTAACTGCTGTTTTTGGCCGCAGTTCGCCTTGCGAATGTCTCACAACCCAGCATTCTTGTTAAGGGATGGATTCCAGTTAGGGCTGGTTAAACCTTACATACCATCAGAATCAGTTGATAGGTAACATCCTAGTGCGGGTAGGTAGAACCACTAGATTCCATTAACGACTCAGGGAGCTGTTGAAATGGACAGCAACGTTTCTAGCACCACTACGGCTTAAAAATT